ATTACTTGACATGCCGTATTAAACAATACATGTACATGCTGTGTTACTTGACCTGCCGTAATAAACAACAATACATGCACATGTTGTGTTACTTGACATGCCGTAATAAACAACAATACATGTACATGTTGTGTTACTTGACATGCCGTAATAAACAACAATACATGTACATGCTGTATTACTTGACATGCCGTATTAAACAACAATACATGTACATGTTGTGTTACTTGACCTGCCGTAATAAACAACAATACATGCACATGTTGTGTTACTTGACATGCCGTAATAAACAACAATACATGTACATGTTGTGTTACTTGACATGCCGTAATAAACAACAATACATGTACATGTTGTGTTACTTGACATGCCGTAATAAACAACAATACATGTACATGCTGTGTTACTTGACATGCAGTATTAAACAACGATACATGTACATGCTGTTACTTGACATGCCGTATTAAACAAAAATACATGTACATGCTGTTACTTGACATGCCGTATTAAACAACAATACATGTACATGCTGTTACTTGACATGCCGTACTAAACAACAATACATGTACATGCTGTGTTACTAGACATGCCGTAATAAACAACAATACATGTACATGTTGTGTTACTTGACATGCCGTAATAAACAACAATACATGTACATGCTGTGTTACTTGATATGCCGTATTAAACAACAATACATGTACATGCTGTGTTACTTGACATGCCGTATTAAACAACAATACCTATACATGCTGTGTTACTTGACATGCCGTATTAAACAACAATACATGTACATGCCAATATTGCATCTTTAAATATCAACTGGACAACAACTCACTTTCCTCTACAATGTTTGTCATTGAAAGTGTGAGTGACTAATCTGCATTAAAAAATCCGAGCGAAAACAAATGTTGACTGACCCTGATTATAATTTTGTAATATGATGTCAATCTTTACATTTCAGGCGAAGAGCTGTGGTTTAACCAAATTCATCTACATCATGCAACGTTTTTTAAATGTCACCCAAAGTGGATAGATGCGCAATTGACTAACCTGGAGTATCCTCTACATAGTTGTTATGGAAACGGCGAAGAATTTGAGCCCGACACTCTCCAGAAAGTACGTAACGCCATCTGGCAAGTTGCTGTAGGATTGCAATTGAAAAGAGGGGACATACTTGTGACAGACAATGTAACGGTCCAACACGGTCGCTTGGGTTTCACCGGACAACGAAGACTTCTCGTTAGCATTACCAAAGATTGAATTTTGCGCGTATAATAATTCTGTTTAATTGGCAATTTTAGATTATTTTAAAACAATCATTTATAATTATTATAAAAATGTACACCGATGTTTAATTAATTATATGATAAATAAATTGGAACATAGTGTCATGGGTACTTAACCATCACCAAATACAAGTGTCTTCTTATGATCGCTTAGGTCGTTCAGGGATTCATTTTATAATATTTAGTGACTGTATTTATTTCATTGCAATATGATGCACTCGTTTACTAGGTTGCTCTCTGAAAATACAATCAGTATTTCTATTGCATTTATGCAAATGAGCAAAGAAAACGAAAGTCCGGATCCGTCTGTTTTCATGATGTTCATGTGGTATTGCAGGGGTTATCTCCATTTGTGCGTTCAACGTAATTCATAATAAACATACAAGAAAAAATAGGAAATGTACATATTAGTTAATTTCATTACCTTGGTAAAACAGATATGCTCTATGTCTAGTCCTTGGTTGCTACTCAGATGCATCTATGTCGGAAAACGAAATAATTTCTTTTGTATGCAATGATAATCAAAAGACAGTTTATTTAGAAAACACATGTCTAGATTTGAGGACACCCTAAACAATAAAAGCATTTCCTATAATTAGGATACGTCTTCTATCCATCAAACAGAATTATCATCTGCTTGGTGATAGCTCATTCCTAATATTGAACAGGGGAACTTTATATATATTTATTTGAAAGATCTATTACTTGGAAGCGCCGCCATTTGAAACCATGAATGACAAATTAAGAAAATAAAGAGCCGTTCTTCAGGCTCTAGGTTGAAACTGAAATTTACAGTAAAACCAGTCAACAAGTCAGATCACAGTGCGGTCAACTTTTGAAGTACAGTACGTTGACTGACGAAACAGGGTAGCAAATACCACAGCACTTGCACTGTACGCCCAAAGCGCTGCTCCCGTACACATGGTACATATGCAAAATCCTGTATACTAGTGTGCGTGGGTTATAACTACTCTATATGCTGGTGCGAATAAAACTATACGGTCTATACGTACATGAATAGATGTGCCAATACACATGGAATTTGACGTTGCAGTAGGCTTATTACATTAGGGATTTCGGTGAGATGATTTAAAGCGGGAGGGTCGTCACCTGCGCACGCGCGGGAGTCCCAAGCGATGACAAAACACACGCTAAGAACGCAAAAGCTCATTGGTAGACGCTTGTTTGTAAACAATGACACGCTATGGCCATCTGACGCATGCGTAGGTGACAATTCACCCACTTCAAATGGAAGCTAAGGAAGTTTGGGCAATAATGACGTACAGCTTAGTAATCGAAAATAAAACGTGTCTAATGAGATGGAACTGAAAATAAAGGACAATCTTTGTATATAAAACGTCAACTGCAATTGACCTCACTGTTACGCATGCCTAATGAAATACTGGTACATGAGAACGAGCTGAAGCATGCGCAATGCGTACACAGTATGCTAATTTTAATGAGAATACGACATAACATATCTCATGAATATTATTTTAAAGTGCAAATATTAATACCAAGCATTCATTATGAATGCCTGTAAGCACATATTTTCAGCCTTGACCCTGCCTGTTGTGGTTATTAGAAGTCTGCACATGTTTTCTACCACACTAAACCAGATCTGCTGGTTCTACACTCTGAGCCTAACTCTGCGAGCCGCTAAAGATTTCGAAACTATACAGCGCCATCAGTGACTGTCACGGGCTCTATTCCTCAAATACATTGAGGGCGCTGTGATCAACAAAAACACTATATCAAGAATTATGTTAAGTAAACAATCAAAATGAGAATAAGTTCGCTTCACCAAAACCTAGCATCACACGTATTAGCTTTGTTAAAGCGGAGGAGTCGTCACCGGCGCATGCATCAGATGGCCATAACGTCACGTGTCAATGTTTCCAAACAAGCGTCTACCCATGAGCCCTTTGCGTTTTAGCACGTGTTGTTATCGTCGATTGGGGCCCAATTCCCGCGCGTGCGCAGGTGATGACCCCCCCGCTTTAGCACATGTACCTACTAGTGTAACTCATAAAAATAATCTCGAATAATAAAGCTACATGTAACGCACGTACTACTGATAGAGATAATGACATGATCAGTTCTCCAGCCTAATATAATTTAATTATATTTTTCGAAACAGTTATTTATTTACAGAATATTATTGCATAAATCAAATTCACAAGTTCTCATTAGTAATTAAAACATCCTATCCTTTACTGAACCGAATTATTCCAGTTGGACTCGGAATGTCGGTTTTCATTTTACTGCCGACGAGGGCAATAAAACCGAGAGCAAAATAAAATGCGTACATTATAGAAGCGAGTCTGATTCTCACTTCGGTCTTAAAGCGGGAGAGTCGTCAGCTGCGCATGCGTCAGATGGCCATAGCGTGCCATTGTTTAAAAGCAAGCGTCTACCCATGAGCCTTTATGTTTTTAAGCACGTGTTGTTATTGTCGCTTGGGACTCAATTCCCGCGCGTGCACAGGTGACGATCCTCCCGCTTTGATGTTTTCTGTAACAAACGGTAATTAATTATGCAATCAACTTAATCAAATTCGTTTTATTTTCTCAGAGGAGTATCCTGCTAATAATATCCATTTATCGGTGATATAACACACATGGTACGGCTTTTAATATTTTGTATGCATATCAATTAAATTTCGATGCTAACTAATAAATTTCATTTCAATATTATCCCAAACAAGCTCATTTGACATATTTTAGAACAAAAAAACGAGGTTTTCGATCTATTACAAATTATTTGTTAACGCGAGAGTTCCCAAATGTAGTATCAAATGCGAGATTTATAAACCGTAGAGGGCGAAACCACATGTCTTTGGTATGAACTACATTGTACATGCCACAGCGTACACTGATACATATGTAGAACGCACTACAGCTGGCGACATGGAACAGGAAACCAGCTTTCTAAATTGGTGAGTCGGCACAAGTGAGTAGGTAAGTGACTAAATACACCGCCAAACGCTGGCTCGAGAGTTGTGGCATCCGCCTCCCATCCATATTGCGCTCTACTTTTTCCCAGACGTCATCTTTACTCTTTACGCTCTTTCGTTCCGGTCCAGTCAAAGCGACGAATGTTTGCTACAAAGCCTTGTTCTCAATAAAACGCTAATGTACCTCGGCACCGTGCAGTATAAATGGTTATAGTGAGTGCGCATGCAACAATGAATTAAACCTTCAACGCATACTTTCTGAGATGTCGTTTATATGTTACTTTCCTAATTTTATTATATGAAACAATACATAAACACCTATTGAAGAATCGTTTTCTTGACTTTTGAAACTAGGAACACTTCTGTAGCGTTGTATGCGTCAACGTTATATTACACAGAAGTTTATATTCTGTCTATAATCAGATTTACTTGGTCCTCGTCGATATGGTCATTGGGTACTTAAAATACACAGGGGAAAGATAACAACGTAATTATTTCGCGTTTTACAACTTTTTAATGTACCGATACCATGATACTGACATCATTCCCATGAGAGGTTATACTGGGAGCATTGACGTTGATTGTACACTTCCTTCTAAGACAACTAAAATACTTAGTTCTCTGAGCCTGCATGTAACATTCGGTATTGGCACGCAGCTTTAAATGGGTTGATTTCCTATTCAGAAAAATGCTAAATTTCCTGTCTACCCCTGTTACAGACCACACACGGAACTTTGAAGTAAACATAAATGCCGCGGTGGTCTCAACCGACCAGTGCAAGTACGCAGTTCCCCGACGCCGTTCATAATTTACCGGCAAATTGTATGAGCTGGTATGTGTTTGTATGTAATTTGAAATATAATGTAATTATTTTAGAGGAAGGATACGGTATCACATATGATACGTTATCTCTATTATCATTAATGTTTTCACTAGCGGCTCATACACCCAGTCAACTTTACAACTTTGAGTATTGTTAAAAGTATGTTTAAATATAGTGGATCTGGGCGTACTGGAGTTTACGATACGATACGATAACTCATGCCCACTGTATACAATACTGTAAAATGACTAATTTTCACTGGGTTTAAATTTCACTGATTTACCTTTTCAGGCATATTCAGTGGGTTTTAAATTCACGGTTTCGTCATTTAGATAATGTGTTCTATGCTAAATTTTACATATTCACTGTGTTTTAATTTAGCGCATTTTTCCAGTCAGCGAAATAAGCTAAATTAAAACCCAGTGAATAATTACCCCCTTTACAGTATTTAATAATGTAAAATCCACCCGTGTAATAGCTCCCCAATTACACGCCAAACAGAGCCTCTACAGGAAATTTGCCTGTTGATCACATGACTGCAAATTATGACGTAGTTTCTATTTACATATTATTCACACGCTTACATAGCTGTACATAGCTCAGTGCACACGGTATTGTTATAACATTTATCAGACCTTTTTTTATCTTGAACCTTTCTTTATAAACAGAGCTGGCGTTGTTACGTAAGTTTGAATTCTATGACGAGGGTAGCCATATGATCATGTGACGCGGCACTTGCATTGCGTTACCACAGTTAAAGCGGGGCAGTCCACGCACGCGTCAGATGGCAATTGCGTGTCATTGTTTACAAACAAGCGTCTACCTATGAGCCTTTGCGTTTTTAGCGTGTGGCGTTATCGTCACTTGGGACTCAATTCCCGCGCGTGCGCAGGTGACGACCCTCCCGCTTTAACTTGAAAAAACACGACAGAGAAATTCAGATATACTGGACTGGACGCACGAATAAAATAAAACAACTAACAAAGTTAAGAACTGATATAAAACCAGCAAAGAAGTACAGCTGAAGGAAACATCGGTTCAATGATGAATTAAAATCCGGTTTGAAAAAGATTATTTTCAACACCCGCCCACAAAAAGAGCGAAATGTCATAACTGTTCCCCAAAGAGGAAATAGAGTGAGACACGAAAATTGACATTAATACACGCGTAAAGTACGCATGACGTCATGCACTAGTTTGCTTTTACACAATTATCTATATCCGAATGAACTACTTTCAATGATAATGCATTTATATGCATTCCATTCCATCGAAGTCGGTCAATTGAAAGGTCAGAGGTTAAAACAAATATATATATAAATTATTCGAAATTATTAGTGGA